AGGCGCTCCGGAGGGCTTTCCTCCTCCTCCTCCTCCTCCTCCTGCTCCTCTGCAGCAGCAGCAGCAGCAGCATGGAAGGTTGTGGATGCTGAAAACGTCGCAACACTTGGGTCAGTGGGTGGGTCAGTGGGTGGGTCAGTGGGTGGGTCAGTGGGTGGGTCAGTGGGTGGGTCAGTGGGTGGGGAGTAGAATCATGGGTGCGTGCGCGTGTGTGTAGATATAGTGAACTGTATGTATGTTGTTACAGGGTGGTACAGCTTCACCAGCGGCCCCCTTTCCCTTGGAGGCAGTTCCCTGCTCTCCCCTGCGAGAGGGGCACCCTAATCCGTTCGCCCCATCCGATTTCAGAATGTATTCGTTGGGTTCAGCAACTCACCACCAGCATCCAACCAAATCTAGCGGATCAACAGCGCCTCAACTTGGTTCCTGGTCAGCTCGCAAGTTGATGTTATCACGTCCTACACCGACCGCAGGATGGGGGGCCACCTCCCAATTATAACACCCCTCACACACCGAGAGGTCGGCAGGCGGATTTGAACCCGGAACCTCCGGGAGCAGAAATCAGGCCTTAACTTCTGCCAGCCACCTGCCTATGCATGCATGCATGCATGCATGCATGTATGTATGTATGTATGTATGTATGTATGTATGTATGTATGTATGTCGTTGGCGGTCCACGAATCCATTTACAAGGCGTTTTGCGCCCTCTCCGCCCCCCCCCTCCCCCTCCCCCCCTTTCACTTGCAGGCAAGGGACTGCAGCTAGTGACACAACAACACGCATTGGATGCCGTACTACGGCGCCAGGCGCAAGTATTGTCGTACATGAAAAATCAAAAGCAGCAACAGCAACAGCAGCGACCGCAATCACCACCATCACAACAAAGTCAACAACAACAACAGCAACACGATCAACAGCAATATGTTTTGCAACATCATCATCATCATCATCAGAACCACCACCCGGAGGGCGGAGGCGGAGGACCCCGCCGGAGGCGCCTCGATCCGGACCGGCCACGGCCATTTGTGGTGGGTTGAGACAACCGCACTCCACTCCCTCCTTGCCGTACGACTCATTTCCTCCTCAAACAGGTATTCTGAGGCATCTTCTTTTATTCTTTTACCCGCGTTGCGTCCGTCGCCCCAATGCGAGCGCAGGTCGCTCAGAAGTATGTAGACGACCCGCTGCTCATCAATAACCGAAAGTTCGGTATTCGGTTGTGGTTAGTTGTAGTCGGGTCAGATCCGTTGCGCGCCTACCTGCATAAGAACGGCCTTATTCTCTTCTCAACGGAGCCGTACGACGCGGCGGCGGTGGAGGCGGCGACGGTGACGGCACCGTACGACCATAGCGGTGCTGTTGGCGGCGACGCTGGGGGGAGCCCGTTGGGGGCTGCCGTCATGCTCGCTCCGAGCGCCGACGGGGGTGGGGGGGAAGAGGAGGAGGCGGAGGAGGAGGCGGAGGTGGAAGAGGAGGGAGTTAACGATGGCGGCGGCTGTGGCGGCAGCGGCGGGAACACCGCCGGCATGGCGATGAAGCCGCCTGTATGTACGGCAGGTTCACCGCCTGCGGCATTGTATCCTCCTCCTCCTCCTCCTCCTCCTCCGTCGCCGCCCCCTTCTTCCCCTGCCCCCCGGGGTCATGTAACGAATTACGCTCAGAACGTGGATGGGGAGGTTTGGAGTCTCAGGCAGCTCGCGAACCACCTGGGAACGGAGAAATTCAGGTAGCGTGTTACCCGTGACTGGGAATGGGGATGGGAATGGGGATGGGAATGGGAATGGGAATGGGAATGGGACCATTTTTGGTCGTATTTTTGCTTAGGGTTTTGCTGTGTGATCGGGAAAAGGAAAACTGAGAAGATCTGTTTTTTTATAAGTCAAAATTTGAAACGAAGACTTCAATTTGGGATCCGCGAAATCCGCGATCCAAGTAAAACGACAACGACTAACGGGTTTTCCCCCGCCTTTCCCCGTTGTGTACCTCAAGCAAGCCTCACCCTTTCCGTTGCGTTCCTTTCTCCTCTTCCTGCCCTCCGTCTTTGCCCTCTTCGACGCACACATACATACATACATACATACACACATATACGGATTGCCCCCCGCGGGAACTCGTTTCCCGGGGACTTGTGGCTCGTCCCTGGCGGCGCCGCCGTACTACATGTACGCCATGTGCTGTCGTGCACGAGAAGCCTGCTCTATCGCCGCATCCTGCGCAGCGCGGCGCTGACTGCGGCGGCCGCGGTTCCACACATTCGCTCCGAAACCGCTCGTCTACGGGTGCCGTACAATTCCCAGGGCGGCGGCTGCTTTGAGCTCTTTGGACTTGACTTCCTCGTGGACAAAGAGCTGAGGTTGGTGGTTTGCCGTTGGTGGTTAAGTTGTTGTCGGTTGGTGAAGTGGTTCCATGGTAGTTAGTTGACCACGTGGGTCGATGTCCCCCCCCCCATTCCCCCGTCCTCCTCCCCCTCCTCCCCTCAGTTCTACGTCTGGTACACTCTTGCCCTGGCAGCAGCTTCATTCGTGTGTGGTTCGTCTTTCCCCTCCTCCCCTCCTAAGCAACGGCATGCGGGTGCCGAGACACGAGCTCGCGTCAAAACCAGTCCGAATTCTCAAACAAGCACAAGCCCATTCCCGTCTCTCCCCCCGATTTTGCTTCATGCTTTTCAGCTCAGCTCAGCACAGCATCGCACAGGGCAGCCCAGCCGACGTCCATCAAAACATCTTTGCGTCGTACACACTCGTCGTACACACCGCCTGAGTGATTAATAGCGTTCTCCGCACCCCCTCTTTCCCTCTCCCCACATTTCCATCCCCAAGGCCGTGGCTGCTGGAAGTAAACGCTACACCCTCTCTTGCCGTACAGCACACCGACCCACGGGTCGAACAGCTCATTCGGCGTGAGAAGGAGGGCATGGTAGCCGACATGGTCTCGCTGCTTAGGTTGGATAGGAGGTACGGCAGTCGCCACCGTACACATCGCATTCAACACGACGACGACGACGGCGAAGGCGGCGATGCCGCTGAAGAGGGTGCTGTGGGTGATGACGGTGATGGCGGCGGCGCTGGAGCGCTGCGGGCGCTGCTGCAGGCCACTTACCCGCAGGTCGGTCGGTTTAACTCCCAACGGGCGAGGGGGTTCCAGACCGATGCTCGATGCGGGGATACTCCTGCGGGGGTACTTCTCCATCACGGGGCCCTCCACCTCCCCCCCCACACGCACACGTACACACACACACACACGCGCGCGCGCGGGGTTAAACCCCGCCGTGCTCTCCATCAAGACCCAGGTTCCCGACAGACGGACAAACAGACGGACTCTCGCATGTGGCAAGATAGAGATAGTGCTTGTGTTGTGTTGTGCAACAAAGCACGACACGACACGACACGAAGATTAGCACTCTAGTTCGGATTTGCCGTCGCAGGTTCGGGACCGTTCATGGGGGCTCGTTCAATTTGCTGGCTCGGTTGGTTGGTTGGTTGGTTGGTTGCTTTCCGCCGTACAAGCACGCGGCTGTTCCCTTGACCTAAGCACCTTTTAGTAGTAGTGTGTTTTTCCAACCGCCGCCGCCGCCGTCGTCGTCGTCATCGTCATCGTGGTGGTGTTGGCTTTCCATGGCAACCATCTGATCGCCGTCACCACATCGCCTTGCTCACCGTCACCGTGTGATATAATACCGTGTGGTGATGCCGCCGCAGGTGTTTTACGATTCGAAGCTCCTGGACGTGATGGAGTTTGTGGAGTGGGAGTTAGCGGCAAAGGGCAACTTTCTGCCGCTCATGCCGCTGTTTCCCCAACCGTCAAAGCAGCAGCAGCAGCAGCAGCAGCAGCCGGCGGGTGGCGGTTTGAAGGTGGCGGAGGTGGCGTCGGCGACGGCGGTGGTTGAGGAGGCGGCGGAGTGTGGATACTTGCTGGACGCGGGGAAGCTGCCGCCGGGGTACGGCAGTGGGCTGGGCTGGAGCACGGCGGATAGATTGGTACGGGCGTGGTGTCGGGACAGGGACCGTTTGCTGTACGGCGCTGCGAGCAGGACAAAAGGGGGCGGCCCGGTGAAGGGGGATGTGGGGGATCAGCGGCCAGCGCGGCTGGGGCGGCGGCGTGGGGAGGAAAGGGATTGGTCCGAGATTTTGATGCGAGATTTTAGTCAGCTCTAAGAGTAGGTAGGAATGAGAAGCGAAGGCTGGGCTGCTTGATTGGCGCGGCGTTGGGTTGTCGGATTTGTAGTCTCAATTATGGCCTCGTGCCTCTTTTTGCAGCAGACTGTTTTGGTGATTGGGACTTGCTTTACGTTTCCGGTACCGCCGAGAGTCGGCTGATGATGAAGTCATTTTACGGTGAATCTTTTGGCATGCCAAAGGATATTGGTTTGCTGGTGGAAAGCTGCGCGAAGAAGTAAAAGATCAAAGCCTCGTGTTGCATGAGTTTTGAGGCTAAAATGTTTCTCTGCAGAATCCGCTCACTTGTCAAGGGCTGTGACGGCGCAACTTGAAATGAAGTGCTCTTGTGATATTTGCAAACGTTGCGAACGCAAGTTCACATGGTCGCTTTGATATCTGCAGGCAGAGAGTTTCCAGCACGTGAGGTAGCCGGGCTTTGGTGTGTAATGGTTTGCTGAACGCCGGTTACGGGATGAGCAACGTATTGGGTGCTCACGTCTCTGACTTTCCGCCTTTGCCCATGCGTCGAGCGCGTCGTACGCATAACTGCAAAGGTATAGCCCCATTTCCGAATTTGCCAAAACCTGGCTATTGTCGGCTGCTGGTATGGCCGTTGATGCCACGGACTCCATGCGGCATGAGGACGCCGTAGAAAGCCTATGAATCATGCTTAGCAATGCCACATTACATGCTTATGCTGTAACCAAAAGTTTGTTTGTGCATGATTGAGCGCACGGTCAGCTATGGGCCCGCCCTGGAGCGGCAATTCCGTAAACATGTCTCGTCTCTCATCTTTTTCTACCACAACTCAAGCTCCCATATTGCAAGTACCTTAATCACGCACACGGATGCCGCACGGCTAACCTACGCACATCTCATCTGTCAGGATCTAGCTCAAAAAAATCTAGAGGCGGACGAATCGACTGCTGCGGCAACGCCCCAAATATCTCGGTCATCATCTCCAGGTGTACTGCCTTTGCGGCTCCCTCTTATATATCCGCTTCCGGAGCAGATACACCTTGGTAGTTGAAAAGGATTGAGGAGAAGCGTGGGATTTTTCTGGTGCCCAGCACGACAGGCGCCCAGCACGGCGGTTCCCGCCGCATAAGCTTATTTCTCCTGTCCTGCGAGCCGAGGCTTTTTGTGTGCTTGCAGCGAATAGTATACAGCGCCGCAAAAGCTTTCTATCACATAAGCGTAAGCGATTCCAGTCGGGTTCAGCTTCAGCCACAACGCCACAACGCCGCGACAAGCGAACGCAACGTTTCGCGACCGGCTCCTCATCCATTATCTTGGTTGGGCCGCTGTATCACCAGCAGTTTCGTTGCTGTCATAGATTGCATCAGCTCTTCGCATGCAAATCTTTTTCTGGCGTTCCAAGGAAATATTTTTGACCTTCGCGCGGAACAGGGCTGATTAAATCCACCAGCTATTTCCAGCTTAAGTTTTCAAAATTTCTGGATTTTCCACATGAAGAAGTCCAACTCTGTTCAGATCATGGAAACAACAGCAGTTGCGACCTCGCAGTGGCCGGGTAGCATGGATGCCTCTGCAGCCGGCGGCAGCCCCAGCGCGTTCGAGCGGGCCGCACCGCAGCAGCTGCCAACGGGCCAGATGACCCATGGGTCATTCCCACCATCGGCCTGCGTCTGGGACAGCATGTACGACATCACTGCTGCCAATGTCCCCGGTGCAGTCCCCGGTTGGATTTCTCGGGGCAGATGCAGCAGCGGCGGCGGCGGCGGTGGCGGCGGCGGCGGCGGCGACGGTGACGGTGACGGTGACGGCGGCGGCCCAATCCAGCCAGCCCCAACCGATCAATCGGTCACGGTGGCGGCCGCCATGCTGGTGCCTTGCGGCAACTGGATTGAAGCCGCCGCTCCAGGGGGCGTCTGTCCCTCCTACGACTTTGTCTTCGGCGGCGGCGGCGGCGGCGACGGCGGCGGCTGGTGCTGGAGCTCCGGAAGCGGCAGCCCAACAGTGCCGGCGCCGCCCGGGCCTTATCGTGGCGCGTACCCAGCTGCGTTTGCGATCGGGCGGCCGTCGTCAACGTCGTCGGAGTCGCCGCC